ATCTGCCTGCACTGGGCTGGGTTTGGGTGATCAGTGGCTGGCTGTGGGTGGTCAGCAGTGGTCAGTGCTGGTCAGCAGTGGTCAGTGCTGGTCAGCAGTGGTCATTTGGTCACTCTATCAGGAAGAGAACATCTGCCTGCACTGGGCAGTCAGGGGATGGGTTTGGCTGGTCAGTGATGGTCAGTGGCTGTGTGGGGATGGTCAGCAGTGGTCAGTGCTGGTCAGTGCTGGTCAGCAGTGGTCAGCAGTGGTCATTTGGTCACTCAGGAGGAGAACATCTGCCTACACTGGGCTGTGTGTGGCTGGGTTTGGGTGGTCAGTGGCTGGCTGTGGGTGGTCAGCAGTGGTCAGTGCTGGTCAGTGCTGGTCACTCACGGTCATTTGGTCACTCAGGAGGAGAACATCTGCCTGCACTGGGCAGTCAGGGGGTGGGTTTGGCTGGTCAGTGCTGGTCAGTGGCTGGCTGTGGGTGGTCAGCAGGTGGTCAGTGATGGTCAGCAGTGGTCATTTGGTCACTGTGTATCAGGAAGAGAACATCTGCCTGCACTGGGCTGGGTGTGGCTGGGTTTGGCTGGTCAGTGCTGGTCAGTGGCTGGCTGTGGGTGGTCAGCAGTGGTCAGTGATGGTCAGTTGGTCACTCACTCTATCAGGAGGAGAACATCTGCCTGCACTGGGCAGTCAGGGGGTGGGCTTGACTGGTCAGTGACTGTGTGTGGGTGGTCAGTGCTGGTCAGCAGTGGTCAGTGCTGGTCAGTGCTGGTCAGTGGCTGTGTGGGGATAGTCAGCAGTGGTCACTCACGGTCATTTGGTCACTCAGGAGGAGAACATCTGCCTGCACTGGGCAGCCAGGGGGTGGGTTTGGCTGGTCAATAGCTGTGTGTGGGTGGTCAGTGCTGGTCAGCAGTGGTCAGTGCTGGTCAGTGATGGTCAGTTGGTCACTCTCTCAGGAGGAGAACATCTGCCTGCACTGGGCTGGGTTTGGGTGATCAGTGGCTGGCTGTGGGTGGTCAGTGGCTGTGTGTGGGTGGTCAGCAATGGTCAGTGCTGGTCAGCAGTGGTCATTTGGTCACTCAGGAGGAGAACATCTGCCTGCACTGGGCAGTCAGTGGCTGGGTTTGGGTGGTCAATGGCTGTGTGGGGATGGTCAGTGCTGGTCCGTGGCTGTGTGTGGCTGGCTGTGGGTGGTCAGCAGTGGTCAGTGATGGTCAGTTGGTCACTCTATCAGGAGGAGAACATCTGCCTGCACTGGGCTGGGTTTGGCTGGTCAGTGGCTGTGTGTGGGTGGTCAGTGCTGGTCAGTGGCTGGCTGTGGGTGGTCAGTGATGGTCAGTGCTGGTCAGTGATGGTCATTTGGTCACTCAGGAGGAGAACATCTGCCTGCACTGGGCGTCGTTCACGGGCAGCGCTGAGATCGCCGAGGTTCTGCTGAACGCGCAGTGCGACCTGCACGCGGTCAACTTCCATGGGGACACCCCCCTGCACATCGCGGCCAGGGAGAGCTACCATGATTGTGTCAGGTATTGGGTCTGGGGGCTTCTGAGGGGTCACAGAGCCTGGGGGGGTCACAGGGGTCTGGGGGCTTCAGGGGAGTCAGGACATTCAACTTCCATGGGGACACCCCCCTGTACATTGCAGTTAGAGGGAGCTACCATGATTGTGTGAGGTATTGGGTCTGGGGGCTTCAGGAGGGTCTGGGGGCTTCCCATGGGCTGGGGGGGTCACAGGGGTCTGGGGTTACAACTTCCATGGGGACACCCCCCTGCACATCGCGGCCAG